CTGATGGCAGGCCTTCCCCACAGGCACCTGGGGCTCCCCTGTAGACCCCCATCCCCTCAATAAACCCAGATACTTGGGGAGAAAAAAAGACATCAAGCAATCTGATTCCATAGCCCCATTTTTTTTTTTTCGCCATGTTGGGTCTTCATTGCTGCACATGGGCTTTCTCTAGTTGCAGTGAGTGAGGGCTACTCTCTGCTTGTGGTATACAGGCTTCCCATTTCGGAACACAGGCTCAGTAGTTGTGCTGCATGGGCTTAGTTGCTCTGTGACATATGGGATCTTCTGGAACCAGAGACCAAACCCATGTCCCCTTCATTTGCAGGCGAATTCTTAACCATTGGACCACCAGGGAAGTCCCTCAATAGCCCCTTCTTGAATGCTTTATGTGTTCATGAAGAAGAGAAAGGGGAAAGAGGCATTGAAGGTAGAAGGAACATACACCAAAGCACCAACTGCACGATGTTGTTTAGAGAGCAGCAAGTAGTCAGTGTGGCTTGAGCATTAAGATACGGTTGCCCAAAGATGGCATGGTGGAAGGCCAGAAAGATAGACTGAGTAACATATTTGACTAACATATATTCCCTATATATGGAATTTCCAAACAGGAAGATGGCTATTGCTCTGGCATGAAGGTAGTCTCTGATTTCAGTGTTTTGTTCATGGCAAGAGCGTCAGGTTTTTTTATCCTTTCGAAACTATAGCATTCAGTTCTGTTTTCAGAGGATACTGTTCTGGTGCCAACCAGATGGAAGCCTTCCATCAGTAAAGTGTCAATCAGTAAGCTGAGAACATTAGTTCTGTTGGCCAGTTTTCGGTTATCAGGTTTTATGGAGACATACCTAGGACACACAAAAATGTTCAATTACGAAACATTCCTTTAATAACTAGCAAAACTAAATATATAAATTTGATTTATAACTTCAAATAAAGGCATAATACCACTTTTCTCAAGTTTTTTTAAAGACTTCATTTATAAATCTAAGCCAATAATTTCAGGCTACTGAAAATAGAGACCCTACTATAATCTCCAAAGTCATTTTAATTCTACATTTAGTAATATAGCTAACACTGATGAAGTCTCACTAAGCAATTATTTTCTGGAGCAAACAATTTCATCAAACAATTAAATTAGCTTGATTGTTATATAATGTAATTTTTAACTATTTCCAGTTTTTCTTTTTGACTTACTAAATATTGTTTTAATTAACTGATTCAGTCATTTTGATAAACATCTGATACTTTTACAGTTTCCCCCTAGATCTAATTTTACTCATTATCAGCACTGACATTACAAATTTTCTCCTGTGACTTTCTGTTATCGAAAGCATTTTTTCAGGTGAGGTTTTGCAGATATTAAATGTCAAGATTTTATTGTCAATTTTCCTCAATACCTATCCATAGTTGAAGAGTAAAACATAGGATCTAAAAGGACTCTAGAGTCAAAATGACAAAACTTCCTATTTTCTAGAACACTCAATAGAATTGATACACATAAATCAAGAAAAAATATATACCTTAACTTTTCAGATTGACTGTGCCATGCTGAGCTTAGCTGCTCAGTCGTGTCTGATTCATTGCGACCCCATGGACTTAGCCCGCCAGGCTCCTCTGTCCATGGGGATTCTCCAGGCAAGAATTCTGAAGTGGGTTGCTATGCCCTCCTCCAGGGGATCTTCCCAACCCAGGAATCAAACCGGGTCTAATGCACTGCAGGCGGATTCTATACCATCTAAGCCACCAGGGAAGATTGCTTTAATAATGTCAACATAATAATACGTTGCTTTAATAATGTCAACATAACATATCCACAAAGATATAGCTATATCACCCCTTCTTTATCGACCATCTAGGATGTTTTTTATATCTTTGTGTCCTCCCACATGACATGAGTTTGAGCAAGCTCCGGGAGTTGGTGATGGACAGGGAAGCCTGGCATGCTGCAGTCCATGGGGTCACAAAGAGTAGGACATGACTGAGCGACTGAACTGTCCTCCCACCATTTGTTTATGAAATGGGGAAAAAAAAAAAAAGGCTAACTTAAATTAGTTCCAGGCTGCCACCTAAACTGTCTGTGGTTTTATGGGATAAAAAGAGCCTTGGGGACACCCCTAGCCTCCTTTTAATTATGATTGATAGGCTGGTTATTGTAGCTCACATTTAGAAACTCATTCTAGACAAAGAAAAGAATTCAATAATAAAATGTAAGAATTATGAAACTACAAAGTACATACCCAAAAAATGTTTATTATGTTTAATACAGCAAATTTTTAACATTAGTAAATGATTTCATCTACCCACAAGCCCCAGATCTTGATTGTAGAGCCTAGAAACATTTGTCAAAGAAAAAATGTTACAGAACATCTGACAAAATTAAGATGCAAATAGTATTGTTGTTGTTCAGTTTCTAAGTTGTGCCCAACTCTTTTGCAACCCCATGGACTGTAACCTTCCAGGCTCCTCTGTCCGTGGGATTTTCCAGACAAGAATACTGGAGTGGGTTGCCATTTCCTTCTCCAGAGGATCTTCCTGACACAGGGATCGAACTCACGTCCCTTGAATTGGCAGGCGGATTTATCACTGAGCCAAGTGGAATATACTTGCAAGAAATCACTGGGCCTAAATATCAGATTCCCTAAGATGCCAAACTGAGAAATGGAAGATTTCAAGGCACAAGAAAAAGAGAAAAGAAACCAATGGGAAATGGAAAATCAAAATTTCTTTTAAAAACTTAAAAGGCAACTACACGTCTCCATTTGAGCTAGCTTAAAAAGGAAAAGACAGAATATGCTACCAAAGACTCTAGAATCCTGTGACCATAACTTGAGCTTGATAATGTGGTATCATATGAATGGCCCTCTGCAAGATGCATGCCAAATATTTTTAGTACTATGAACTTAAAGAGATAATAACTGAGCAACTTGCTAGGTTACCAAGACCTCAAAGTGATAAATCACATTAGTAGAACGTAACTGAACAGCTGGATGATATATCAGGCTCTGAGGAGCCATTCAGACTTACTTCTCCACTTTTCACCTTCAAAAAAAAAACCTGAATGGACAGATTCAGACCAAGGAGTGAGCAGGAAATAAAAATGATTGCCAGCTAAGTAGGATATACCTAAGGTGGGCCTCTTAAGACCAAGAGTTTTCATCCGATGACCTAAACTCCCAATAATGTCACTGGATTTGGGCTATCTCAGCTCAGTTCAGTTCAGTTCAATTAGTTGTGTCCAACTCTTTGTGACCCCATGGACTGCAGCACTGCAGCCAGGTGTCCCCGTCCGTCACCAACCACCTGGAGCTTGCTCAAACTCACATCCGAGTCCGTGATGTCATTTAACCATCTCATCCTGTTGTCCCCTCCTCCTCCTGCCTTCAATCTTGGGTATTCTTCCTCTACCCGGAAATTGGAATTATAGAAAAAAAAAAAAGGTCACGAACTACTTATCAGCTGAAAAAATTCTAAACTTCAAACACTGAAAAGAATACTATTTGGTGATGCAGGAAAAAAATCTCATCTTAAAAATAGCTTCTAGTTTTAGAGTTATCTGTTTTGGAATTTAATTATGCCATTCTCTTATTAAAATGAAAAAAATCTGATTTGTAAAACACAAACAGTAAACAAGAAGGGGGAAACTACTGTCATTGTACACACAAAAATATCCCAACTTGAGTTTCTGTTTTTCAAGATTACATTTTCTCCAAATGTATAGTTTTTAAAGATCATTTAGTATTTCCAGGATATCTTTTCACCTTGCATGTTTGTTCTTGAAATCAATTATACCACTTTTCCTTGTTTTTAACTTTTTATAAAGGGATCCCTGAAGATCTTAATCACTCAGATTTTTAAATAAAAACTGGTAATTCCCCTTCTGTTTATTTTAGTGTCCTACCAGTTGTGCACAGAGGTATCTTAAAACATTTTGAGGTGAAGATAGGGTCTTAGGTTTTCTCCACAATCAGCATGTTAATTTAACTGGATCCTTTTCCCCAAAATGACATTTCATGAAAGACAGGAGATTATATATAAAGTGTGAATACTTCAGAACTGTCATACTGCCCAGGGTTTTTGAGCTGGTATGCAGGACCACGGGCTACGTTGTGGGAGAGGTAAACACTGTTCATTCCTGGTGTCTGCTGTAAAAGTTAATATCCCAAAATATGTCTACCTTTACCCCCCAAAAAGTATATTTTATTTAAATACTATCAGTAAAGAACATATACAGACTTTTTTTCCCTCCTGAAAATTAAAGCCAGCTTTCACAGTTAATAAAATAATAGTGGGACCGCATTAAGACATTTTTAAGGGGGAAAAGAAGTGTCCGTGACAGTAGAGTGAAAATCAGCCTGAGGGTCCAGCCAAGAATAACAGGGGGAGAAAGTGAATAACTGACTCAGAAGCAACTATCCTTAATATACTGACAGCCTATCCCAATATTTTGAGTTGTGCAAGAGTGCCAACGATGTAACAGGAGACCAGATTTGCCATGGGATATATCTGCCTTAATGGTGTTTAAGAAATAAAGTGGAATGGAGAAAAATTAGTAGCCAAATCAGAAGGGCTGAAAGAACAAATATACATAGAGTGTAAGGAAATCAGGACAAACTGTTGAGCCTTTACTATATGCCAGCAACCAAAAGAAACCCTTAGGGTAGAAAAAGTCATCTCATTCCATGGGAGTGGAACATAATCTATGAAATTATTTCCTCCTACAACTTGAATGACCATAGACCCAGTTTTCCCTGGACTATTTTGATTTATTCCTATTGTCCCATGTAATAACAATTCTTTCACTCACTCTGAAAAGTACCCCAATCTGGACAATAATTATCTGGTCATTCCACCCAACTCTACTGATTACCTCCCCGCCCCCTCCAAAAAAAATTATTTTCAGTCATCATTTTTTCTAAGAAAATTCAGGCATGAGAAAATTTCAGTTTTGAGGGGAAACATTAGGAACTGGTATAATAGAATAGAGGCTTCAAAGTACAAAATACCTGATTCCTGTTTGGTTATCAGTAGTGCTGTCAGAGCCGCATTGGAAAACCAGGTCATGGTAAGATGGTCTTTGTGGAGGCAATGGAAGTAACGTCATCTGAGGAGGGAAAGAGTTACTACTCGAGGCTGGTGCAGAAGGTTGTTCTATAAACACTGCAATCCTCCCAGTTAGCATCTCAATTGTTTTGCTGCAAGAGCCAAACACCCTGAAGAAAGCCTGAGTATTTCGGCTTAGGAAATGTACCTCCACAAGAGCAGGTCTTGGCTGTAACATGTGTTCTTGGTTTAAGAGATCCACCAGAGGACTGAGTTCATAGAATAGAGCCTCCCTCTGAAGTCTAAGATGGTCTGAAAAGTCAGTGGGTAGTAGAAGTTGGTGGGTTCTCAGAAAATCTAAGATGAAACTAAATAAAACACCATCTCTGTCCACAAAAATCTGGCCACCAACCATCTTGAATTCTTGGTCTCTGCCATCTAATATTCTCGTCAACCGAGAGCCAGGAAACTGCTTTAAGGTGCAAGACCTTGTGGTGAATACCTTCCCTCCCACGTTCAAAGTGACCAGTTCCTGACCACTCATTCTTCTCTTGCTTCCAACTAAAGGCCACAAACCATCAGACACAGCCTTAGGAACCTGTAAATCAACCTTAACCACAATGTTAGTTATATATGATTAAGAAATCTAGGGGAGGGGAAAATAACAAAAACAGAGACCTAGATTTCCAGGTAACTACTGTTAAAGCAAATAGTGTATCCATAGCTCTGTTTACAAATTTGAGAGTTACTTGGGAACGTGCAGTATACAAAATGAAAAAGCAACAGATGAGAAACTGGATAGTTTAAGGAAACTGCCAACAGGTCTGAGAACAGGCAGCAAAGTTACAGTATCCCATTTAAAAAGAAAAATCCTTCATGAAAACCTCTTGTAAATATGTATTTAAAATATATTCTGGAACCAGAAAACCATTCAGCCTCTCCACACCTTGTATCTACTTGAGTCCTCATGACAGAGACACTATTTCTAGAGAAATATCTTAATTTCTTATGACCCCTTTAGAAATTTAGTGGCTAAATCCTAGATTGACAGTTGGGGATGAGGCAGTCATTACCTCAAACAGCAGCTTAAGTTGACTACTCTTCTCATAACTGCAAAGGTTCTTCTGTACTTGAAATTTAGTTGCCACCTTTTTTTCCCATCCCTGCTTGTATTACCTCCTCTTAACCAAATTAATGTACTGGGGTAAACACACTCTGGACTGTCAAGGAATGTCTTGCCCCATGACAGAAATAAGTTTGACTGAAAGAGGTTCTAAGTCACTTCCGGTTTTCATCTGAAGCCTAAACAAGGTGAAAAAAAATTAAGTGTTTTTGTTCTGTGGGAGATAGGGCATCTTTATCTCATGTGAGCAGACAGGATAGCACTCGTGTTTAGTTGATTACTTTGTACTTTGTAATAGCTGATAGACTGCTTCATCTACTGTCAAATGAGTCTCACTAAAGTTCTTTAAACAAATGGATTGGTTGGTTGTACAGTTGCCATTATATTTTGTAACAACACTTAGTTGCCAGTAAAAAGGAGGCCTTCCCACTTCCTGCTTTTGCCATGTGTTCTTTTTAACCCATGCCTTGGCTTGCAGAGTCACTAACACTTCTGTAGTTTACCGCCAAATTCCTTTGGTGATAATTACAAAACTTAAAAGCAGATAAAAGGCAAGCTGAAATAAATCTCCACCCACCTGTCAACTTAGCATAAGAAAATGCCATTTTTTGTTTACATGAGATTTACATTGTATTGGAAAAGGAAATCAACCCTCTGCAGAAAAAGCTGCAAATTCAATCCATCTTATCTTATTCCTTTTTTAAAGAATGTTCACTCTCAAAAAACAAAAAACAGTTGCTTTACAAGAGTAGTCTTTATTACATGCTTAAAAACAATCATTATTACACTACCTCATCAGTACAATATTAAATCATGTATTCTCTTACCCTCCCCTTTCATAGCACAAACACAACCGGTGCTGGGGATAGGATGCTAATTTCAAAAGCACCTGTAAAAAGGAAGGCGGGCTGGAGACTAGACTATTAGATTTCACTTTTATCTTTATGCTACCTAATTTCAACATGTATAAGACATTATTTTTGAAAGGAATACTTTTAGAGGGCAATATCTGACTGGAATCTTAACCAAATCTGAACTACCACTCTATTCTAACAAATTTCTAACAAAAGACACAGAACTATGTACTTGAAACAGATTTTATAATAGTTTATATTTGCACACAAATTCTGCCACATTGTTCAGCACCACCAAAGTAAAACTCTTCAATCTTTCACTGAAAATGAAAAGCCCATCTGTCAACTGTTCCCAGTAGAAAACTGATTGTTCTACAAAATCAGCCGATCTAGTCAGGTAGGAACTAAAGTTTGAAAGATTATCTTTCCAAGTTGCAATTTCATCAAATACGGACCATTCTAGGAATATGGCGGGACTGAAGAAAACGAGAAGGCCAAGCAGAATGACCACCACAAATAATGGATAAAGTCTCCAGGGAATCTTGCTAATGAACGAGCCAGTGTCTTGAGGCCAAGACAGTTTATCCACATCCACTAGTTTTATGTCTTCCCACTGACTGGTATCAAAGTTCTTCATCAAAGGGCTTGAGGGCAAATTTGAGGGAGGCAAAGGAGTTTCCTTGATGACCTTTATTTTCTCCCTGAACTCCTGCATCTGTTGCAGAAATATGATGGGTTCTGACACATCTTTGAAAGCCTCAGCAATGTTAAAGGCCATTCGCTGCTCCTGCAAGATGGTGTTGAGTTTGTTGATCTCTGGGTCATAGGCCTGCATCACTGCAAGTTTCATGGTCTCAAAGTCAGACAGGATTTCATTCTTCTTTTGATCTAACGTGTATTGTAACTTCTCAAAAAACTCCTTCACTTTATCTGAATCTTTAGTCAGCAACTGTAGAGACTTCCTTTTGCTAGTTTCCAAGGTATCCAAGCGAGAAAGGGCATCTCCCCGACGCCAGGTCTCAAAGCTCTGGAAGAGGGACTCAAAGGCATCCCTTTCCTGAGCATAGGCATCTTCGATAGAACAGAAGACGTGCTTGGTGTGCTCACCCCGAGTCGCACAGATGCCACAGATCAGCTGCATGTCAGTCAGGCAGAAAATGTTGAGAGGCTGTCCCAAGTGTCCTTTGCACACTGGCATTTTGGGAGAGATCTTAATCTTGTTATACTTTTCCACAATACCCTTCAGGGAGTAATTAACCTGTAGGCTGTTGACTCCGGTTGCTGAAGTTTCCTTCCGGCACGTGGGGCACTTAAATGGGGAGGATCTCCACAAGGAATTCCGCACATTCCCCTCTAAGATCCCTTCCAAGCACTTTTTGCAAAAGTTGTGCGAGCAAGGCAAAACCCGGGGATCATCAAACAGACTGCAACAGATTGGGCACGTGAGGTCTTCTTCAAGCAGCTCCATCACATCTCCTACCAGAGAGAGAGAAACATTTTATTCTACGCCAGGAATCCCCTCCATTTGGGCTATGAAATAATTAGAAGAAACTAACTTCACAGTCATTAAAAAATGCTCTTGTCACAGAAATAACCAGTCAAACAAAGAAAGTAAGAGAAATTTGGGACGGGAATGCACACCGAAGCAGATTTCATCTGCTGGGACTAGAACACACTCCTTATCAGTGGGGCTCCCGGTACACAAGGCCTTTGTGCGGGCTTTCCAACACAGTCATTGGCTGAGCCAGGGCGAGGACGAGGACAACTGCAAGTTGAGCCAGCAGAGCCCAAATGCTTGTTTTAAAACCGAGCTGACTACTAGCTGTCAGAAACAAAGCCACTCAGTGTCTGAACAGAATGAGCTCTTTAGTCTGGGCCCACAATTATAAAATGGTATGCTATTTAAAGAAAGCAGAGATATAAATCCAAGCATGTTCTCTCACAGAGACTTTTATTAAAAACTGGCACATTTTCCTATTTCAAAGGCAAGATTACAATTATTAAAATCAGGGGTAAAAACATAAAATGAGAGAGCTGCAATTCATTCTTCCCTAGAGAATTAAATGGATATTTTTTAAAACCACTGGGACAGTAATCAAAGCTGTTTGCACTGTCTGGAGCAATCAGTTCTCAAGATGCAGTGGTGAGGAACCTGGGCGTCCCTAAGGCTCTTCTAGGGCACCTGTGAGGACAATACTATTTTCATATAATACTGAGATGCTATTTACCTTTGGCACAGTGTTGACACTGCACTGTTAAGAAAGCAATGGTTAAGCAGATACGGCTGGGGCCTTAGCAGGAACCAAACAAGACCACAGGTAGCCCCAAACTGGATTCCTAATGTATTCTTCAACACCACATACTCACAGTTGGGGCAAAGGTGAGGGCAGCCAGGTTCATTTTAGAATGTTCTTAATAAAACAGTAAAAATTATTCATTTTACTAAATCTTAATCCTTGTGTACATATCTTTTTAAATCCTTCATATAACAAAATATGAAGTAACCACAAAGTATTTCTGTTGCATACCAGCAGATACTGTCTGGAGGAAAAGCAATTAGGCAATTTAGCCACACGCTAATCAGCTGCTTTTTTCAGGGAACACCATTTTTATAATTGAAACAATGAATGACAAACTATGGGTGTGGAGACTTAGGTATCTGGCAGACATTTTTCTGAAAACAAACAAAATGAGCCCATCACTTCAAGGGAAACAAATGACAGTGTTTCTCGCCAATGATAAAAAGTTGAATTTTTAAGTGAAAACTGGATTTTGGCAAACATAGCTGCCACTTAAGAGCTTGATAGCTTACCATTAATTAAAGACTTTTCTAATGAAACAAGTGGTAACATTAACATGCGTATTGTTTTACGACAGAGATCTTTATATAATGAAATATGTCACTGGAGATCTACTGGAGAAGGAAATGGCAACCCACTCCAGTATTCTTGCCTAGAGAATCCTGTGCATGGAGGATTCTGGTGGGCTACTGTCCACAGGGTCGCACAGAGTCGGACACAACTGAAGAGACCTAGTGTGCGTGCGTGCATTGGAGATCTACATTACACAGCAAATTAACTGGTTCAAATCACCAATGCATGTTACAGGTCATGTCTGGGTAAAAGATCAAAAGACCATTATGTTAAAAAAAATATGATTTCAGATTTCATACTTCAACTAACTTTTAAGAAACTACCGCTTGTTGAGTTTTGAAGAGTGATAGTTTTCCGAAAAGGCCATTAAAATATTCCTCCTTTCACCAATTACGTATCTGTGCCAAGTCAAATTGGATTTTCTTTGTATATTTTAACCAAAATAACTGATTGTAACAGATGTAATGCAGAGATACATAAAAGATTCCTGTTGTTGTCTACTAAATGGCGATTCTCGACAGAGATCTCTAAATATGTAAAACAAGGCCACCCTTCTCACAACTGTCCTGAAAAGTTATTTTTCACAAATTATTTATGTTAACATGTGAAAGGTTTAGCGTTGTCATTTTAAATGAATTACCTTAATTTTTTTTCTCAGTTTTAATTTCAAATACACATGTAAATAAAAGCTCTTGGGAGCCTCAGCTTTCAAGTCTAAAGGGGTCCTGAGACCAAAATATTTGAGACCTTAGAACTAGAGAATACTAATTCTCAATTCAAGTTTATTCTTTTAAAATGTATATTTTAAAACTCTTATCCCTAAAGTTTTAGAAACAAAAATAGCATTAAATATGTCACCATAGCATTAAATATGTCGCCATTCAGTTTACTAAGATAAACATATCCTTCATAATTTATCACATTGCCACCAAAGTAATAAATAAAATTTATACATAATAAATAAATAAAATAGGGTCTACTAATCTCTATGTCATCTTATAACCAAAAGTAAGTAAACATTTTTGATAGTAATTTTAAGAATCACAATTGGAGCTACAATGTAGAAGACTTAAAAGATACGCTGAACTTGCAGGACCAATTAGTTTATGGTCTTAGGTTGTGAAAGATATATGTATAATAAATATATAATACATATATATGTGGAACTGGGGCTTCCCTGGTGGCTCAGTGGTTTGATCTCTGGGTCAGGGAGATCCCCTGGAGAAGGAAATGGCAACCGACTCCAGTATTCTTGCCTGGGAAATCCAATGGATAGAGGTGCCTGGTGGGCTACAGTCCATGGGGTCGCGAAGAGTCAGACACGACTTAGCAACTAAACAATAATAATGTAGAACTAAAGTAGAGTATTCTGTCAAAATTTAGTGTCATATGGCAAAAATGGTGATGAGCTTATTTTTCTGAAAAATCTTTTGTGACATGACAAATCAATCTTTGAAAAGCACTGGAAAGAGAATGGCTTCAGAGACGGCGGTTAGTGTGCTGAAAGGTTATCAAGCAGTTATAAAACATTCTGACTCTTTAGAGCAAAGAAAGAAAACTTTTCATGATCCTCCACCACTAGTCCTGGTTCTATCACCTCCCCTGCTAACATGTTTCACCTAGAATTATATTTTGGAGTAAGCAGTAGGAACAGGAAAGTAGTGGCAGCAGCATTCAATAAAGTAAACCTAATTTACTCTTCCTTGCCAGGTTAGTATTTCCAGAGAATCCTATCTAAGCATGTTAAATAACTAAAAGGAAGAACAAAGGATACTGTTTTGTCATGAGAAGGAGAAAAAGGCACCCAAGACAAAGAAACTTTGAAGAAAACTGAGGATACTGCAATAGTGGCCAAGAAGAATTTTAAAGCAATCAAGTATGATTTAAAAAAAAGGAAAATGTCACACA